AACAGTTTCATGAGCATCTGCTCGATGCATATCATTTGTATCAGTGATAAATATTAGTTGATTAACATTGTGCACAAATATCTGGCCTTCGTTTGTCTTTAACCAAGCTAACGCATCGGCACAATCGTTGCATGATTTGAAACGAATAAGACGTATTTCATGCGTCTCACTTTCTATCTTTTTCACTGATATATTTCGAGTTATTGATGATCCAATGATTGTTTTAATTAATTTTTTTCTATTTTGAACTAAATCATTTGCATGTTGAAAAATATTTATCTTCCTCGTTCTTGATTATATTTTTTCAAGGTCTTTTACATGCTGATATTGTTATTCTTGTTGATGACGATGACTGATATGAATTAGACTATGTTGAAGACGACGTTGTTTACTCTTTTGGCAGAGTTAGTAGAAAAAATGTGATTGATCACGTTGTTGTTGTACATGTTGAGAACCGTTAAGACATTGATTTTCAACTGTCCTAATCGAAATTAATCGAAGTGAAGCATACATTTCGTTGTCAACATGCATGTGATGCACCTTTTCTTCACTTTAAACATCCATAATTTGTTTCGTTAGCGTAAGTATTAAGACTTTTTATATTGAAAGAGACCACTTTATGTTTTATTTCATACAAAACAGAGCTTTGATATAGTTTTTAAGACAACTAAACTAATTTGTTTCAAAAATTATCTCCTTTCTTATTTTCAAAATATTCATATTTTTCTCAAAGACACCAGATGATAAATATACAGGAAAGAAAGGCTGTTGAATTAATCTATTGCTTTGATCACCATACATTTCAATTGTGTATATTTATGTCAATAGTTGCTGTTCTCTTTCCAATTAGTGGCGCTGTCACTCCTTAATTCTTACTGGGTGTCACCGATGAGAAAAACAAAAGGAAAGGAATGAATGAACTAATATAGATGTAATGCATAATTTTTGTTAATGTTTGTAATAAGAGCTTCCTGCTGCGGTAGTTTTTTATGTTCATTTTTCACGATATCCATAATAAAATTTCACACACTCAATAATGTCATTGTTTCTATCTGTTACCTCCCTGAAAAATTGTATATAAGTAATTTGGTATGAGTTTATTTCATCGTTCCATTCATTCATAATTTTTGTATTCTCTTGATTCATCTTAAGCTTGCCACGTACGGTCTTTTCACTTTTATTTTTCAAGGTGGTAGGTTGCTTTTGTCATTTCTTGACATTAGAAGTTATTATAGAATATACATAAATAAGCATCACAATTATCATATTGCTGATGGCTCGTCGTCGATCTTTACTTCACCTCATCTTCATTCTATTCAATTTTCACACACACACATTCATTCTGCTCCAATAATGACTTATCGAGCGTATGAGTGTGGAGTGGGGTATGTGCATCAAAAGACTATTTACACCCAAACTCGCGTTTAGAGCTTTAAGACAAAAACGATTAACGATGTGTTCATAACAGGCCGATCATCACAACTTGATGATTTCAATATCTACTTATTGATTATTATAATCAAATATAAATTCAGCTATTATCTGATCACGAGACATTATTATTAGTTATTCATTTATTTATTCATAGATATGAGTAATACTTATTGATTATAATATATTAATTGCATAAAGCGAACAGTTTCCTAATGATCGACACTTACCTCGTAGTTCTGATATATTTAGGTGCAAATGCATTATTATGTCGTCGCATTAATGGAATAAACCAATGTAATAATTGCTACGGCTAGTTCTTGATACTTAACAAACTTATACATAGGTTTTTATTTTTAATTATTAGAATTGCAAGATAAACCAATATTATACATAAGTCCAGCGAGTTTTTTGCTTGAAAATAATTTTATTCTAGTTCTACCTGTTTGTATTCCATATTCTATTTTCAATTTTTCTAAATCTGTTATGTTTTTCGTTGTTTTTTTAGTTATTTTAATATCTCTATTTTTTTCATCATTTTATGTGCTTTGAATATGTAACAGAGAGTCTTGATGATAGTTTTAATATTTTAATAAATAACACAAAACGTTTCAGTGAAATTAGTGATAAACATTTTTATTAATTCAAATCAAACTACATTTATTTTATATTTTCCCGTTATTTAGTTGTCGACTTCATTGGTTGCTGAAAAACAAGTATTTGAGAGCAGTAGATTGAATTTATTTCTACGCTAAGAGATAGACCAATCAGTTTTTCAATTGATTAACCACACCCACACTCACGTTCCACATGTTGGGAAACGTAAGCTGTCTGTTTGCTTTGAGCTTATTAATTAGATTTTGAAGAAATTCATTCTTTGTTGGGTTCTTTTCAAGTTTAAATTAATAAGACAATGCGAAGCGAAAGCTACCAGATGAGATTCTTGAGAAAGGTCGAATATCAGTCGTAGCTTTCGTTCTCATAATGCACACTCTAATTTTGTATATTTAGCAGGAAATATTTTTATCATCGCCTCTTTTCAACTCTGTGACATGATAATGCTCTAAATAGTACTAAATCATGTCTTGATTGATCATCATTTCTTAACATTTTTCGTATTCTTCCTTTTATTGACGGCATTGCTGATGCATAGATTACATTTGGTAAAACAAAACTCGATGATCGAGAATATAGGTTATACGAAACCTAGGATTCTTATTGGTCTCGAGCTTCTATGTGCAAGACTATATTTTGAGCGTTTTCTACTGGATAAGAATTGATTTCTTATTGATCATAAAAGACTAAACAGCGTATTTCAATGCTTTTCTGTTTACGGTCCGTTGGAGACACATGCTCATTGACAAAGCCTATGTGAGCACCAAATGGGGCAACATCGAAGTTGCTAACAAAGATGTTGCTGAGAAAAACTTCGTCCGATCGCATCTGGCTCAGATAGTATCATTTTTACTTATCTTGAACATTGTAAAAGATCTGATAGCTAGATATATTTACTTTTAGAGCCTCGAACCTCTGCAATATGAACATTGTTGTCGGCATCGAATGAGCGATAGTCACAAATGGTTAAAGTCATGTTCAGTATGGAATTGGGATCCAAAGATCGCTAAACATTGATCATTTGAAAGCGACTCTGTATCATTTTTTCAGCCTCTTCTTCGTCGAGCAATTCGTTTACTTTCAAGCGAACTGCAGGTGGGTCACAGTCCACATGTGGTCCGAGAGCAGGGTTTTTGTGGATCGAATTGCACTGATCGACGATGCGCAGCAGCCATCGAGACCGAAATATATGATTGAAGACGATCACGCTGAAGGCACTCAGACGTTCTTTGAGCAATTCAACAGTCTCTTCGTAGTAAGATCATTGTATTTCACTATTGTCATCGAACTCGTCGTATATGCATCCATTATATTTTAGCAGTTCGAAACTATTGGTGTCGAGATCGACGCTATTCTCCCTGCCTCGCAAATCTTGAATGATCATACGAACAGATTTTTCTCCAACATTCGTATGTGCAAAGTTAAACTTAGAACTCACATCTAATCATAGAGAAGAGTCGTCCGTCGTATGACTAAAAAGCTTGATTTCTCCGGTGATATCAACGGCCATCTGTAACTCAAAACCATTCACACAGACAGAATAGGTGCGTTTAGCAAAAGAGAAAATGAAACAAAACTGATTCTATTACTTGTTATCTTATCGACAATAAAAAGCCTTTAAGATGTGAGAAAAAATAGTCCCTTACAGTCACTACAAGTTTTTATTTCGTTCGATCACTGTCTCATGTCATTAGCATGAGAGACAGGTTGCAGATTTTGTTATTGTGTGACCCGGAACAAGAAGAAAAGAGAGGAATCAAAAGACGACAGATGAATAGCTTGTCTGCGAATAGCAACAACCGAGAATGATAAATCAGTGTTGTGCTGATTTTCGTATATGAGCTAACGAATGACCCATAATAGATGGCCAGTCCGCTCATCAGATATGTATAGTTTGTTTAATAATTTCGCTACGATAACATTGATAGCTCTTAGAGAATTATTAAACACTAGTTTATATTCTAAGAGTAAAGAAATTTTTGGTTGAAATTTGATTATTGTTAATGATATTTTAATAAGCATCTTGAATTTAAACCAATAGCGATTACTGGTATATTTAGATATAGAGAAGCTGGGTGTAACTGTGGCTGGATTTGTGAGTGAGGAAATGAACTACACCCACAACCACACTCTTCAATGATTATGCCTTATCTTCATTTCATATCGCAACAACGAGCGTTTTAAGTGCACAAAAGATGACTCATACATCATATACTTTTATTTATTTTTTAATTGATTATGTAAAAATTGTGTTATGTGAAAACGTTTTATGCAAAAGAATTAGTATGGGAACAAAACTATATGCCTACATCGCCATTAAAAATTAGAGACTTTTACTCAAGAGGATACACTACCTCAGGGTAGTGAACTATATATCCTTGTATAATATGTAGATCGCTAGTGCATAAAACTGTTACTGACGACACATATGTTTAAGTACAAAGCATACGAAAAAATCCTGTTTGAGTATAATTAAGGATATTTTCTACTAACGAAATTTTGAAACCGTAAACTTAAGGATTTCGCTGTCAAAAGATTAAAAATGCTGCCTGAAAAGAAGTAACCTTGAGAATTGCGTCAAAAGTTGTGTGAAAAAGAAAAAGAAAAGGAAAATATCCATAGTGAGTGTTTTAACGTCTAAAAATATTTGGTTCACTCCCCCCCCCCCCCCCCCTTCACTCTGTACAGATTCGTCCAGTTTTGATGCCTCTGCCCATCCTATACCTGAGCATTCTTTATGGACGATCTTTTAGGGTGGCGGCGTGAGAAGAAGATAAATAGATGCACAACCAAACCCTTGAACAGTAATTTAGTACTTGATAACAATCTTTTCTAAGTCACTTACTGTGATTACACACATGCATTATCAAAGTGATGATAAGATCTCGTTGATATTAGCACAATGACTATTGACTCAAGAGAAGTCACAAGAGTTTTTTTTTCGTGTATAACAGATGACGATGATATTTTCTTTATTAATAGTTGCTACATGGGCTTTTGCCGTTCAATGTGTAATCACTCGAACTCCGAGTGGTGATATCCTTGGTTTCACATCTGATGGAGTCGATATTTACTTGGGCATTCGTTATGCAGAATTTTCGGAGCGCTGGACACCAGCTAAACTACCTTCTTCGTGGACAGGAATACAAAATGCAACAACGTTTGGTTCGATCTGCCACCAGTTTGGTCCCTACAATCAACCATTTCAGTTTAATGAAAGTGAACATTGTCTCTTTTTAAATTTGTGGGTACCGACTAGGAGAAATGCGTCGCTATTACCAGTACGTTTATGGTTACATGGTGGTGGTTATACTGCTGGTAGCAGTAATGATTATGACGCTCGAAATCTTGCTAATCTTTCTCAATCAATTATTGTCACAATCAATTATCGTCTTGGTATATTTGGTTTTTTTCCATTACCAGCTGTTGAAGAAAGAAATTTCGGTTGGCTTGATCAACAATTAGCTTTACAATGGGTTCAAGAGAATATTGCATCATTCGGTGGTGACAAAACAAACGTTATGTTATTCGGTCAATCAGCCGGTGGTGGTTCCACTATTGCACATTTACTGATACAATCGAGTTGGTCACTCTATTCGTCAGCTATTCTACAATCAAGTGGACCTTTTCGCTATGACACTTGTCAAGAAAGAGAACAGATAAATTTAGAACTACTCGAAAAATCTTTTTCCGAATGTCAATCGAATATTAATTGTTTTCGTCAATTAAACGCATCACTATTCTATGAAAAACTTACAGTGAACTGGATAACATTATGGCCTTGTATTGGTGAACGTTCACAACTCAAGGAACAACCGTTAGCATTATTTCGAAAAGGTGATTTCAATAAGAAAGCATCAATCATAGGTGGTATGAATACAAATGAAGGTCAGACTAGTGTATTGACGTTCAATCAATTTAATATGGCTATCAATTCATCTCAGTATCATCCTTGGGCTATACAGTACAGAATACCTGATAACCTGACAGAATTGTATGATCCGACAACAACCGATAAAGATTATTTTACTGCTCTAACTTGGCTATTCGGCGATTATTACATTCACTGTCCTACTGTTTTTCTTTTCAATTATCTTGCTGTTTGGTCGTCATCAATTTACGCCTATTTCTTTGTACACGCCACCGAAAACTGGGCATTCACACCGTTTCATTTCAATGCTTCTCACCTTACGGAAATACCCTATGTATTTAACAATGATTTTGCTGCTACTCGATTTACACCAGCTGAAACTAATCTATCTTTGAAAATCATTCGTTATTTTACAGCGTTTCATTTGAAAGAGCAACCTTGGTTGTCATATAAAATCAATAAAACTGTAGTCGTATTCAATATAAGTAATAATGATATAATTCATACTCAGTCTGGTTTCGATCAACGACTGTTCGAACGATGTCCAGTCATTCTGAAATATGTTGATAGTGATAATTGTCATGCATATCTAACTGAACAAGAATGTGTCAATTTAGAATATTGCCGTTGGACAGATAATCATTGTGATTTTTCTTCGACTTCGTCAGCTTCGTTTCAAATTCACAATTCGTTTTTATTTCTTATCATAATTTATGCCTTGTATTTGATAAAAATATATTAAGAAACATTAACATAATAAATCATAAAACAAAAGAATTTTTACATTTATTTCTGTTTGAATAAATCGAAAATATCTAGACCTAATAGTATCAATAATTTGATATTGATTTTATTCAAACTTTTCATCACCAACTATATACATAGATTGCAATTGTTTTTTTTTCTATCTGAATTGATTATCATTTTTAGTGATATCTGAATGAAACATCCGTCGTTACCGATTAGAGTTCGTATAGATGTTCTTCAATTAAGGATCATTGATACGGTTCTGACTATAAATCAAGCACATTTGAAATAATGATGTTAACATTTGCAAATAAATAATATGGGATATCAGTGTGTGTAGAAGTTTATACGATGTATATGGATAAGTATGGTATATAAGATGTATACGATGCATTAGTGTATGTAAAGGTGAATAAAGGTGTTCAGGATATATCGAGTCCATATTTTGTTGCAGTTTCTAGGACATTGTTTTGAATTTCTAGAATAGTGTTAGAGTTGTGTATGACTGAGATGCAGTAATAAATGGAAAGGATGCAAATATTGGATGGGATGGTATCATTAGCTGCAGAATTTGTGCAGATAGATATGTGAAGATTCGGTGGCATCCACTCCGAGCAGGATCCCCGATGTTTATGAGGATCGAAACCTTTTTAATAGCAACATTTTAATTGATAGTTTGATATAAAATTTTTATTTTGTTGTATAATATAAATATATAGAAGAATTTTAATTATTATCTCTGGAAAATCTTTTGTTAATAAAAACTTCCATATTGAGTGATAGTCAATAATAATATTCGTTTATATGTCATAATAGTCTTAATTTCTTGCGATGAAACTATTTATTGAAGATATTTCGAAATCTCTATAGAAAATATGAACCGTAATAAAACAAAATCTAATCAATATATCACACATATAAAGATGTTCATATTTCAAAAGAAAATTGATAATTTTGTTAATATAATAAACATAATTATTTTTCTGACCAAATTACACTCAAAAAAAAAATGTCGATAGATCGAAAAGTCGTATCAATCGAAATCGAATAGATGTCACTGTTCTATGTTGTAGAAAATTTGAACTTCGAGATTTGTTATTACGTTGACCAACGAGTTCAATTGTCTAACTAAATTTAAACTAATAACAACTAATTTTCTTTTATAGAGACACTACCAGTTAATATTCATATTTTTCAAACAATAGAACAATTTTATTGTATTATATTCAATCAACAATGTCATCATCTAATCTTGCTGGTGGAAATTTTGGTGATATAAAAGGTTTTCTATATGCTTGGTTAGGTAAACAAAATAAACTTCCATCATATGAAGTTTCTCAACAAGGTACTAAACAAAGAATACGATTTAAATGTGAAGTAAGTGATAACTTAGTAGGTTTTTTTTTCAAAATTTTCTTGGCTTTATTTCAGCTAACAGTACCATCATATTCTTATACTGCCATTGGAAATTCAACAAATAAAAAAGATGCACAAACAAATGCTGCTATTGATTTTTGTCAATATTTGGTATGTTAAATAGGTTTTTTTTTTCATTTTCGATATGAAATTATTAATTTAGGTTCGTGAAGGAAAAATGCCCGAAAATGAACTTGAACCATATCTAGTAAAGTGTCTTTTTTGTTTTGTTTATTAATTAAATTAATAAAATTTTCCTATAGCCATCAAAGAATTCATCAGTTCTTACAACACAATCACTTGGAACTTTACCAGCTGGTCTTGTACCACCACATATGTTGCAACGTAACACTACAGCAAGTTAGTTATATAAGTTTATATGTATCTAGAATGAAAAGCGAGATCACAACAGATGAAAGATATTAAGAATGAGTTCGCAAGCAAAGTACATGAACTCGGATTTATACTATTTTTACAGTAAAGACAGGATTCTTAATAAAAGCTATCATTCTTCAGCTTTGTCTTTAACGGACATCTTATGATCAATCTAATTTTGCTGATGCTTCTAAATTAATTATTTTGATAGATCTAACGAGAGCGATTCCTAATAAAAATACAAACGTTTTTTTAGCAAAGTTTCTTGGTCTGTTTTGTAAACTATATTCGTAATTCCTTTGGAATAAAGAACATATATGTTTTGATCATCAGTCATTCAGAAGAGAATAGATTTGAATTAAAAAATAGATATGTTATCTTAGCACAAAGAATCAAAATATTTTCCAAGTAGAAAAGAATCTTCTTGTTCTTCTACAAATTTTATCTGAATTTAATTCTCTCGCCATTGATCATTTCAATTCCAATGCTCTAATTCTTATTTTTTTCTAAAATTGAATCGTTTTATTTTTATTGTGTAGACGAAGTTGGTCCACCACCTACTCTACTTCCATATCAACCAGGACCACCATCTCATTATCTTGAACATATTCGTTCAGATCGTAAAATGCTTGAAGAAGTTTGTAATAATGATTTTAATTAAAAACTCTTTCTTATAATTTTTTGTTTGTTTTGTTTAGCAAGAAGAAACTGATACAAATGCATCAATACATGGAAATTGGACGATTGAAAATGCTAAAGGTCGTCTTCATCAATATTTACAAAAAAATAATCTTTCACAAGAATATAAATATACATCAAGTGGACCAGATAATCTTCGGTTTGTTTAATTTTGATAGGAGAGAAAAAGAAAAATTTTCTCTGGAAAAGTGATTAATGTCCATACTTCGATAATCTCTAAAAGAATCTTAATAAAACAGATCAATCGATCTTGCTTTATGTTCAAATAAATGAACAAAAAACAATTTCATAAGTTAGACTGATTGATCGAAAATTCGAAAATGATAAACAAAAACATAAATAAATGAAGAATGGCATTAGTCACTTTTCCTTCCATTATAGAGATTTTTCAATGATCAAACATATTCTAGAACATTTTTTGCTGAATTATCCGTTTATATACGAGAACGTAATCAAAGTAAATCAATAATTGAAACAAAAAAGAAAAAAGAAGAATGGATTTTATTTTTCTAGCAATTCATGCACGAGAAAATGGATCAACAAAACAAATTGCTTCAAAAAGTTGTGCACTTGTACTTGTTCGACAACTTTATCATTTAAAAATTATTGAACCATTTACTGGAGAAAAAAAGAAAAAACAAATTGAGAAAGTAAATTCAACTGATTTATTTTTAAAACTACTCAAAAACCTTTTGTCGGACATATTTCTCAATAAAAAAAAAATACTTTTGAAGAATTACATTAGCAGTCTGTGATATAGCCTAAATTGAGTGAACATATTTTAACCATCAGAAATATGCAAAAATATTTTTCTATTTCAATCAATTTCTACATAAACAAACAAATTTATAAATTCAAACAACACTCACAGCAAAGCATTATTTGCAGATTACTGAAAATAAAATTCAATTTTTCTAGCAAAAACATTGTCACATTTATATTAGAAAAGTTTCTCAATTTTTTCTACCATTGAGATCAACTACACTCACAATAACTGTTAATCAATGTGATAACTATGAAATTTCATGAGAAATTAAAGTTGATACTATGTTTTCGAAAACAAACAAATTTATTTTGTTTCCTGAAGCTTATACAGATTTTCTTTTAGATTTGAAAGTTTTAGCTATTGAATTAGTCATAAAATCAATTTTTGTTTTAAGTTCATTTTTTTTATTTGTGCAAGTTGTTTCAGAAATTTGAACTCTATCGTCAAAAAAAAACATCTCAATGTATCGCAGAAAACAATCAAGTTTTTTTTTTTGGATACTTTATATTTTTATTACATAAAATATTCACAAAATTAGTAGAAAATTCTAGGCAAATTAAAGAAAGAAGTACTTTACAAACTATTATCATCTTGAGAAAATATAGGTCTGATAGATTATCCGAAATGAGAGAAATGTATAATCCAAATTTCGTTAAGATTGAAGAAAGCTTCAGTGAAAATTTCTAAAACAGAAGGCCATAATTCCTCTTCTTTACTTTTCACGTCGCTATTGAAGGTGCACTATATTTCACTTTCGAAAAAAAAAAGAGAAGTTTATTAATAACCATATAATATATCCATCTATGTTAAATCATTTTTAACATTTTTTTATTATATGTTGACAAAATTAATTCTCTATGTAGACAACACCATTTCGTGTTACTGTTAGTAATGATATTGTCACAGAACTTGATGAAGTTATTAAATTATTCAATATTCAACCAGTTGTGGTATGATAATAAATTGATTTTGAATCAAATAAAAAAAAAAAAACAATGAATTATTTATAGATAAATGAACAACAAACAAATAGTTCATTATTAAATCCTCAAATTTTAGAACGTTTTCCTCCAAGTGAACGTCGTACAACATCATCTATAATTCAATGGGTACCACCAATACCAAATTGGAATCCATGGATAGCATCAAATATTGATGAAGGTCCATTAGCAACAGCTACAATGGAATCAATTAGTGAAAATTTACGTCATGGAGAACAATCTAAAATAGAAAATGAATTAAAATGTCGTCTTCAAGAACGTCAAAATTTACCTGTTTTTACTTATCGACAACAAATACTTGAACAAATAAAAAGAAATAATGTTATTCTTATTCGTGGAGCAACTGGATGTGGAAAAACAACACAAGTTAGTTCAATTAAAATAGTTTAAAAGGTTTTCTAAAAAAAAAAAATCTTTTGTTTAATTTTTTAGATTCCTCAATATATAATTGATGATGCTATTCAACATAATCAAGGTGCTTATTGTAATGTTGTTGTTACTCAACCACGTCGAATAAGTGCTATTTCAATTGCTGAACGTGTTTCTTGGGGTTTGTTTATTTCGATTTTTATTTTTTGTTTCAATTTAAATCTTTTTTAGAACGATGTGAAGATTTGGGTAATTCATGTGGTTATAGTGTTCGTTTTGAATCAATTCTTCCTCGACCATATGGTTCATTACTTTTTTGTACTGTTGGTGTTCTTTTAAGAAAACTTGAAAGTGGTTTAAGAGGAATATCTCATGTTATTGTTGATGAAATTCGTAAGTATTATCTTTTCAAAAGAATAAATTAACATAAGTGATTATTCGAATTGAGAAAGCATTTCTAATCTTCATAATTCTGGACAAAAAAAACTAATAATTGATTTTAGACATTTTTTAATAAGAGTAAACATCAATTATTTAGTCAACTTTTCTTCATATTTATTAATATGCTATTCAATAAAATGTTCAGAAGTATTATGAGATCATTAAGATTAAAGGATGACTGCGTTTGGGATAGCGTTGAAAATGTCTCATAGTGATATAAATATTTGTAATTTGAGAGATATATTATATTGTTTATATAGATGAACGGGATATAAATACAGACTTTTTATTGGTTTTACTTCGTGATATGCTTAATGCTTATCCTCAATTGAAAGTTATTCTTATGTCTGGTATGTTTAAAATAATTAGAATAAATATTTATCAGAACTTTATTATTATTATTTAGCAACAATTGATGTAACATTATTTCGTCAATATTTTTTTAATTGTTCAATAGTAGAAATTGAAGGACGAACATTTGATGTTCGAGAATATTTTCTTGAAGATATTATTCAATTACTTAATTTTCAACCAATGAATTCATCATTAACAAGTCGAAAACAAAATAATAAAAATCGACAATTACAAGATGATGATGATGATCTTGGATATGAAGATTCACAAGCAGATGATATTGAGGTTTTTCAGTTTTTTATTTTTTTCGTCTTACATATTTCTTTTCCAGGATAATCATTCTGATTATTAGAAACAATAACTTTCATGAATTTAAAAAGATTTAATCTATCAAAATTGATGGTCGATTTTTTGAATCATCATTCGAAATTAAGTTCTGTCAATCAATTAGATTGTATAGAACAACATGTTTCTAGAATAGATTGCAAGTTACAATGATCATATCTAGTTGTTCAAATTTAAGAAAAATACATTTCATATATTATTTGATATATTTTCAAAAATTACACAATGAGAGAGATCATGAAACAAAAACTAAATAAGTTCGTTTTGAATATTTTCAACAAGAATATAAAATATAGTATTTAATTTTTTAAAACTTCTTAGAGAATACTATTTTCTAGATGTGATTTTTTTCTTTAACTCACATAGACATTATTCATTTTGCACTTCAACAGAATTCAGACTATATGTGCTAGTGAAAAAAAACAGCAATATTAGTTTCCAGTAGTGTCAATAAGTTTCGAGATATGTTGCACGACCTCTAATATCCTTGCTCTTGGAAAAGTTATTCCTTTTTTTAATTCATTAATACTTCGTTTAATCTGCACATTTGTATGTTCGACAACTTTGTTGTTTACGATAAAAAATAAAAGAATTAATTTTACTTCGAAAATTGTAAGAGTATATATTATAGTGAAAAATCGTCTTTCCTCTATCGATTTCTACCTTTATGGTTAGTTTACAGAGATGTCCATCGCGGCTGAAAATCTGCCGCTGCCGCGCCACGGCCTTAGAAAAAAAAAGCTGCCGCGCCGCGACGGCTTATAAAAGAAACGCTGCCGCGATGAATTATAAAATAAACGTGCCGCTGCCGCGACGGTTTTCAAAAAAGTGTTTCTAATTTCACTGCTGTGACTATATTTGACCAGAGATATGGGTACTAGTCCATCAGATTTATTCAATATCAGGGCGTTTCATTTGTAAATCCTGAAATTCTATTAAATTCATACAGTTTTTCAATGTCCTCCAAAAAAAATCCTGCCGCTGCCGCGATGGTTTTTTAAAAAACCTGCCGCCATCGCCATCGCGGCAGCGGCAGCGGCAGCGCCGCGATGGACATCTCTGTTAGTTTATAACTGACTATTAATTGAAAAAGATAAAATAGGAAATGTATTTATCATAAGAATGAATTTTTCATACGTACTTTTTTTCTTTTTACAGGATGTTAATTGTAATACAATATGTGGTCAAGAATATTCTCCTCAAACAGCAGCAGCCATGAGTCAATTAAGTGAAAAATCTCTTTCATTTGAATTAATTGAAGTAAGAAAATAAAATTTAAAATAAATTCTATAAAAAAACTTATATTTAAGGCATTAATAACTTATATCTGTAGTTTGGGTGATGATGGAGCAATATTAATATTTTTACCTGGATGGAATTTAATTCAAGCATTACTTAAATATTTTCAACAACATCCAAGATTTGGTAAATTTTTCTATTTAAATTTATTAAATATTTAAATAAAAAAAGAGAAAAATATTTAATTAGGTTCATCAGGATTTCGATTTCTTCCATTACATTCTCAATTACCTCGTGAAGAACAACATCGAGTATTTGAACATGTTCCATCTGGTGTTAAAAAAATAATTTTATCAACAAATATAGCTGAATCAAGTGTAACTATTGATGATATTATTTATGTTATTGATAGTTGTAAAGTAAAACAAAAATTATTTTCATCACATAATAATATGACAAATTATGTTACGATATGGGCATCAAAAACAAATTTAACACAAAGACGTGGTCGTGCTGGTCGAACAAGATCTGGTTGTTGTTTTTATTTATGTTCAAAATCACGTTATGAACATTTAGATAATTATTTATTACCAGAAATATTTCGTACACCATTACATGAACTTGCATTAGCTATTAAATTATTAAAATTAGGTGATATTAAAGTATTTTTATCTAAAGCTATTGAACAACCACCAATGGATGCTGTTGCTGAAGCTGAATTTACTCTTAAACGTAAATTTTTTTTTTTTATTTAAAATGAATATTAACAAAAAAAAAAAAATATGAAAATTTAGAAATGCAAGCAATTGATGAAAATGATGAATTAACACCATTAGGAAAAATTTTAGCACGATTACCAATTGATCCAAAAATTGGTAAAATGATTATATTAGGTTGTATTTTTTGGTAAGTTATTTTAATTTAATCCATATATAACAACCACTTGTTATTAATGTTCGATGTTGATTAAATTCTTCTTCATTATTAATATTTAATTTATGTGGAGGTTTACCACTAACAACATAAAAATAATCATTTATATCTCGACATGGTGGAAGAATATTTTCAATTGTTTTTCGAAAATTTTCTAATGTTATTGGATTTTCATTGATTGTTACTTCATAATATTTACCATAGAGAAAAGATATACGAAATCTTGCCATATTTTCAAATGTATTCTGTTAAAAGAAAAAAAAAATTTTTTTCGTTTTCTTATGTCAATAGTAAACATTATTTATTTTCAATGTATTCTCATCATAAAAATTTAAAGTCAATAGTCAATTTAATTTATAAAAAAAAAAAAACAAATGTTTTAGTGTTGGTGATGCCGCTTGTACAATAGCATCAGCAACTAGTTTTCCTGAACCATTTCTACATGATGGAAAACATTTACGTCATATGCATCGAAATCTTGCTGGAAATCGTTTTTCTGATCATGTTGCTTTACTTAATGCATTTCAACAATATGAAAGAGAAAAGTATTGTTTTTTTAAGAAGAAGAAGAAACAAAAATTCCTTTTTTTGTTTTTTGTAGAAATCGTAATGGTGAACGTGGTGAAATGGATTATTGTGAACGTAAATGTCTTAATTTATCAACAATGCGAATGACTTATGAAGCACGAG